TATTTAAGATAAGTGTATAAGTATTACTCTATTTAATATCTTATATATATCTAATATAGGCGTTAATCTTCTTTTTATCGATAAACTCTTAAATATTGATATTATAATCGATTTTTATAAGATTAACTACGCCTAATTAAAGATAATCTAAAGCTTATAAGCACTTATAATCAAGATCTATTCTTTCTCAATCTCTAGAATAGTCTAAATAATACCTTAGCGATATATAGTATTCCTTCGAACTTAATTTATTAACTCTAATATACTTATATAAACTATTTAAATTAGTAGAATCTAAATAGACTTCTCGCTATAACGATAGATATAGATTTCACTAAGAATATCGCGGATAAGTATATTTACGAGTGCTATATTATAGAGCGTTAAAAGGCTATCCTCTATATTAATTCCACTGCGCCCGACATACGATTAAGCGAATTCATTTATAGCGATCTCGTAGAGTCTCTATTCTCTATAGATTTTAATAGCTATAGATACTTTATAACATTTAAAAATAATTTCACCTCCTACTTTAAAGTCTACTATATCTACTATAAGAGTAAGACTTTTACTATATTCTTATAATTTAAGACTTATCTTAAGTCGTATAGCTATAAAATCTCTTATATTCGCCTTAATAGTAGAGGTAAGTATATATCTAAAGCCTTTCTTAACTATCTCGCTCTATCGAATATTAAATAAAAATCTATCGTCTTTAGTAACCTCTAAATAAATAATATAATTAAGTATTTTAAATAAATCTTATTATATAAGATATATTCTATTCTTTTAAGCTTTAATCTTAATAAATCTTTTAGCCTAAAATCGTTATTACCGCTAATTATCTAACGATATAATCGCCTAATATTAGAATTATCGTAATCCCTTTTAAGATCTTCTATTAATAAAAGTCTATTCTTCTTATATATAATTAATTCTATTATTTACGCGATAAAACGAATTTAGAAAAAGCTTATAAATTAGAGTAAAAGTATATATTACTAGAGTATAAAAGGGAGTATATCTTCTAGCTATATAATCTTACTAAGAAAATAGTTATTCGCACTAATAGCGCGCACTTTATAAAAAAATAATCCTTAATCGTAAACTCGAAAGAAGAAATTAAGATCTATAAGCTCTCGAATAAGTAATAACATCTAATAATACTAGTATTCGCTATAGAAGAGATACTAAATAAATAACGTATTATAGATATTTTAAAAGATGTTAAATTTAAAGAAGTATTAGAAGATATTATATTTATAATTAAAATAGCTATTAAATCTTTAATAATTTCGAGATCTTTAATATTTATAAGATTAAGATTAAATTTCCTCTAATTAGCTAATAAATTAGCGCCTTCGTAAAAACCTATATAAAAGTCTTTAATATAATATATTTAATTAACTACGCGAGAGCCCTTAGTTTAAGCATTCTCAATATAAACTACTCGATTAAATACTACACCTATACCACCATCAATAATTCGATCTACGCTATCTATACGAAAAATTTTCTTAAACTTAAATTTATTATTTATTATTATCGAAGTTATATAAGTTATTCGCGAAGATTATAAGTTAAGCGCTATTTAAAGAGTGCTATATAATTATCTAAATCTTATAATTTTAAATCTATAGAATTTATTCTCTAACTCTCTTTCGAGAGCCTTTATAATATTTATCTTATTTATAAACTATACTAATAAATCGAATATTTTCGAGTCTATTACTTATAAGTAGGCTATATCTAACTAACTATCTCGAATAAATTAAAAACTTTCTATAAAGAATAAGTATAAATCTCTTATAAATAATAATACTTAATATCTTATCTAGGCGTCTTTCGAGATTTATATTCTAAGAGATAGATAAGTCTATATCTTAAAATAAGATCTTAATAAAAAATTATTTATTATAAGATACGCTAGATTATTCGAGAATTCGAATAATAGAAGGGCTATAATTATTATAATACTTTCGTATTAATAATAAAGTTTATAAATTATAAGGCGATCTTCGTATTTATAATTATTTTAAATTAAGATTTAAAGTAAATAGATATTAAAACTATCTTTCTATATAGTAATATAAAGAAAGAGATTTATATATATTAACTTAATAGCTTTAATAAGAATAATATTAAGATCTATAAGCTAAATAAGATACTTTATAATTTAAAGTAGTTTCTTTAAATCTAATATTAATACTTCTTAGAGTATATAAAGAAGCTAGATCTTCTCTCTATTAAATTAGATGATAGCGTATTTATAAACTCTAAAGAGAGTATTATTATAGCGCTCTATATTAACGATATTCTAATTATTAACTCTAGTAAAGCCGGGATTTAGCGAATTAAAAAGAGTCTTAACGCGAAGTTTCATATATCGAACTTAGAATCATATATCTACTACTTAAATATAACTATTAAAAGAGATTACTATAGCGATATTCTTCGTCTAAGATAAGAGACTTATATTACTTAATTCTTAAATTATTTTAACTATTAAAATTTTATTTTAATATTAATATTCTTTAAAATCAGTCATAAATTAGCTTTCGCCGAAGAGGGCTATATCGCTTTAAGAAAATTATAAGAGAACTATTAATCCGCGATAAAATCTTTTATATATATTATACTCGATATTTATCTTAATATCGTCTACGCGATATTATTAATAAATCGCTATTTAACTAATTTAACTTCAGTATATTAAAATATAATTATTCGAATCTTTCGATATTTAAGAGATATAATATACTATAAACTCGTATATAAAGGCTCTCTTTAAGAATTTATTAATTATATTAATTCTAATTAGATTAATAATACGATCTAAAGATCTATATCTAGCTATCTCTTTAATATAAAAAGTAACGCGATTAATTAGTTATCTAAGCGTTAAGCTATTATAATATTATTTATTTATAAAATAGAGTATATTAATTAAATATAGATTATTAAAAAAACGATTTAGCTAAAAAATCTATTTAATTAACTTCTTTACTTCGACGATATAGATCTTAAAGCTACTATTATTTTCGATAATAATTAAAGCGTAATTACTCTTATAAAGAATACTTAATTTTATACTTATATTAAATATATTAATATTATCTACTATTTCGTATAAGAAAAAATTAATAATAATACTATAAATATATAATATATTCTTACTAATAAATAAATAGCTAATAGACTTATTAAGACTTTTTACTTAAATAAATTTATTATTTTTCGAAATACCCTTAAGGTAGAAGCTATATCTACTCACCTTCTCGATAGTTATTAACTTTACTACTATCTTAATATAGCCTTAATTTAATAATATCTAATAGAGAAGTTATTCTATTATATCTATATCTAAATTTAGAGAAATTACCTATTATTAACTACTTTAAGAGAGCTATTTTATTAGTCCTTGTATTATAGATAATCTACTCGAGTCGCCCGCCAAGCTACTATATTAGACTTGATACTTAACGAACTCGCTAATCTATATCGAAATAGCTATTTCTTTAACGCTATTATTACTATTATTATTAAACTTTTAAGGCTCTTTCGAGGGATCTATATCTATTTATTATTAATGTCTTAAGTATTATACCTTCAAATTACCGCTGTTATAGCTACTATTATTAAGGGCTAGATATCTAAAACGATTCTTATAGGGGGTCTAGCAGCCGACGATATATAGCTAGAAGGATTTCTTCTAATTATTTTATTTAGCTACCCTCATATATATCCTCCGGCCTCGAATCGGTCGATTTTTGGTGTGTATCAGATGGCCTAGAAATAAAATTTCCGAAAAACCGCTTTTTAACAAAAAGTGGAATTTGAGTCGAATTTTGATAGGGGACTGATTTGACATAGTCGTTTTTTTTTTTTTTTTTTTTTTTTTTTTTTTTTCTTTTTTTTAAAATTTGGGATTTTTTAATTTTTTTTTTTTTAATTTCGTTTATATAGAAGGGATAGAGATAAAGAGGGGTGGGGGATATCTTCACGCTAGCTACCCGGCGCTAACTCACTCTAGCTATCCGACTCGGATTTTACTTTAACTATCCGACGCTAGTCTCACTTTAATAACCCGGCGAAAATCGACTAAGTCATTTCACCTTATCTACCCGGTTTTAAACCCTATTAGTATTAAGCTTCGTATCCACTAAGTTTCGCCTATGAGAGGATACGTGCGAAGGAGAGTGTTGAAATTCGGGTCACATGACTCTTGGCGGTCACGTGACATAGTCACGTGACACGCCTTAGCGTATCCGTATCTACTCGCTCTTTTCTTCATAGTAACTCTATAGTTAACAACTAAGTGTCTTACCTCATATTTCCACAGGCATTTCATCTACATGGGCACATTACTCAAAAAGGAACAGGGTCCGTGGCCCTGGTGTCGTTTCGCCATCTTTTACGCCCACTCGACCGGCATTCGCTGACGATAGACGTTCGTAGGGTGTCCACAGGTGGTGGTATCGCTTTCGAGGGTGTTCAGATGTGTGTTCTGAATGAATGGATGGCCGGGAGTCTTCGTCCACGTGCGGTTCGCATATCTGTAATGTGGAAGGTCGAAGCCACTTCACAAGAGTGGCAGCAATGCCTTCCAGTACGGCTGCTAGACTCGAAAAGTATCTTACGGCTTCGATTGGCGGTTCTGGTATAGTACAACGCTTTGCTTATCAGAATCCGCAGTCACTGAGTACCCATCGCGAAGATATCCGACGCCTAGACTGCCCTTTGTATTGGTACTGTCTGTGACGACGAGCTATGGCTTTTAGACTACGGTTGTATCCCTTTGTAGAACAAGTGTGCCTTGCCTTCCCACCCAGACACGCAATGGATGCAATTGGCAGCAACCCAGCGAATTTCCACATCAGGAGACTTGCTCGCGAGGATCAACAACACCAGTACTGGTGAACAAGGTGCGCACCCCGCATGTGTGATTCACCAAAGTCTTATCATTCCGACAATCAGACCTCCGATCGTGAACGCTAACCCTACGGATCATTCTCCAACGCGGTCACGCTCTCCACCACCGCCCCCGCCAAACTCGCCTCCAGCCGCTGCAGACTCTCCCCCGTATACGCCATCATCTGCCCGTGGTCCGCCAGCACCAGATACTCCCCGTTCAAAAAGTCCCCGCTCAGGGCCCCCAGCAGCTGGCCCAGCAGCGCCGCCAGCTGCGTCGAGTAGTACGTCACGTCCGTGTCCAGCCGCGTCGCTCGGCGGCCCGACGGCAGTATCGACACCAAGGCTTGGTCGGCGGCGGCGTCGAGGCCGTAGTTGGACACGGTGGCCGCGAGCAGGGAGGAGGTGGTCAGCGGGGGGAGGCCGTCGGCGCCGAGGATTTGCGCCAGCTGCGCGATGGCCGGTTGGGATTTGAGGGCGTACAGGGCGCTTTCCCAGGTCGTGAAGTAGGTGTTGATTGCTGGGCAGAGAATACCGGGTCAGCGATTTTTATCATTTGAATGTGGTGAGTGTGTCTGTGTGGGTGTGTCTTGCGTACTGCTTACCGTAGATATTAAAAGCCCCGTAGAACACATGCGCATCCGTGACCGGGCCCCCAAGCCGCGGCGCCGAACAGTTCAAACTCCCCAACGTCGAACAATCAAACCCGGCGCTCCCGTACGCCAGCCGCAGGAAACACGTCGACCATATCTCCCCCTGTTCGCACGTCTTGGTCGTGAAGTTCCAGTTGAACATCCACTGGTTCATCTGCAGGCTGTCCCAGCAGCTCGGGTACATGGCGCCGGTGCTGCTGCTGAGATCTGTGCAGTCGGGGCTTGAGGAGTTGGCTGTCGTTGCTGCGGGGAGGGGGTGGGCGTTGTTTTGCGCGTAGTCGGGTGAGCCGGCGCCGGGGGCGGCGGACGGTAGGAGGGGCGCGAGGCATAGAAGGAGAAGAAGAGACAGAGTGCTGCGCATGCTCATACTGGGACGGGCGGTCACGGAAGAAAGGGGTGGGAAGCGTCAGTTTCGATATTGGGAGAGCTGCACATCACGTCGGAGCGTTCCGAAAAGCCTACGGAATGGGTGGGGAGGTGGAGCTGGTGGGGAGTCGTGGGATTCTGGGAAATGAAAGCGAGTTGGGATTCTCGCGTGGGGAAATGGGGTAGCTGTGGAGGTATCCACTCGCAGTGGATCTGGCGCATGAACGGAAGACACGCGATTTGGTGCCTGTACGTCGCATGTTTCTTGAAACAACGCCAAGCTCAATAACGGCCACTAAGAAGCACTTGAGCAAACATACGAACAAGGAGTAGATGTGGGTAGATGTGGGTATCTCAACAATGATAAGGGAATGGCAGGTACTTTGCTTTGGCGTTTGGATGGGGTATATTTATTAGAATCCTTCGAAGAAAAATCCAGCAATCGCAACCGGACTGGCCCCAGCTCCGTGCGCCAGGCTGACACCGCCTAAAAAGGATGTGCATGGGATGTGCATGTGCATGCTGCAACCCCAATCATGGCTCCCCAAACCAAAGGTCCGCGTGACCGGGCATGGGTGGCCTGGTGGATGGCATTTCCGATCTGCGTCGGGGCAATTGTTTTCGCGCCACTTCGCGTTGCTGGACAGTGGGAGCCCATGCTGCTTGCGGTGGTATAATTGCGGTATGATGTCCCCGAGCTATGAGGGGCTCTACTTCGCCTTGGCTCGGAGGTAATTCGGTGGAGGAATAAGCCGATCGAGGGAATGGTCGGAGAGGGCGAGCCGCAATGTGTGTGTCTCCGGTGTTCGACCTTGGCTTGTGGGGCGCGATCTCTGTTTCTGAAGACCAGGGGTATGTATGATATATCATGGCAGACTGTGAGCGTGGGTACGGCGTAGGCTTAGGCTTAGGCTTAGGCCGGTATGAGCCCATGGGCGATAGGGTCGTGTAAGGCGGAAGCGTTGCGAATGAGGATAGAGGTACTTGGTGAGGTGTGGCATGTCTGTACTGACACTCCAGCGGTGTGTCATCTTCGCAAGAGGATACCGAATGCACCTTGACATCGACAGAGCCGTCAATTGGAGACGTATGTTGGGCCAAAAGTCTTGTCGATACTCCGACGGGATCGTTATGCCATTCTTTAAATTCCCTCCAGTAGTCCCTCGATGCGCGTAGAGTGTTCAGGATACTGTTTCTCGTGTGAGTGAACGGCTTCGCGCATTGCCTGAAGAACTCTTTCGTGTCTTCCATCACGCTGTTTTCCTTCGTCCTCAACTCTTTGCGCTCTTTCCTGAGACTCTCTTTCCCCCAAATCCATTTGATGATATGGACCACCGTGGCGCAGCCAAGTTTGATGGAAATTAACCAGGCGTGGTGATATCTCTGAATGATCGCGGCGATGATGACGAAGCAGGCGCTGACCCAGGTGCTCCACTGTGAGACGTTAATTCCTGAAGTTGGTTGGTCTTGTGAATCTCACCTGTCCAACGGCATCCTCACTCTCGCTGACTGGCCAACTCCAGGTGCTAAACTCGTTGATGATCACTGATGATACGAAGACAAAGGGGCAAATGAAGGCCACAGCTATCGCGATGAGGAAATAGTAGCCTGCGACTGTCTTTCCAATATAGTACCGAAGTCTTGATCCGAATGCAGTTCGTCGTTTCTTCGGAGTGGTCCCGGCAAAAGTGCGGAAGGCCCAATTCCGCACCGTTGTCTGGTCCCATTGATTCTCGATGAGCCCGAGTATTCCTTGTGCGATAATCCATAGAAGAAACAGACAATTGACCAAGAAGAGACTATTGACGAGCTCGCTGCCTGTTAGGATGTTGATTGTGTCAGATATCAACAGCGCCGAGGCACCTTGGTTGTGCCTCAAGGGAGTATGGGGCAGGTCGAAAGCGCCTAGGTTGGAATTAGTGCTCCTCACATGCGATATTGGGCCAATGAACCTTACCACAGGTATCGGTACAATTACACTTGTTGTATAGATCCAATGATACGCCGTTGTTAGTGACTGATAGATTCTCGAAGGTGCAACCCTTGGCAGCGTCTAGAGCGCAAGTTGACAATTGGCTCAGGATGACCGACGGTACGACGCCTTTGATTACAATGACAAAGGTAGGAACCATAGCACAGAAGAGGAGAACGCCCCAGAAGATAATCACAGAATGCGCTTCATGCTGTCGAACAGTGGTTGAGAAATTTAAGATTGGCGTCAACATGATACTGCCTGCAACCAGGATAGGGAAAATTGCCTGTAAGTCAATGTCTCCGAGCTCCTTGGGTGGCAGATAGATCCAGTCAAGATTTCTCAATGTCGGCGTATGGTACCTGTATCGCAGGAGCAGCGCAAACGCATGCACTGAAGCCGTTGCGGCGTAGGTCATGGCTGCTCCAAGCGCCGCTGTTGACAGCCAAGAATGTTTCCGAAGGATCAAAGAGAAGATGAGTAAGAGATAGTAGATGAATCGCGGCAAGAACCCGTATTGGCCGCTGATAGGATATATGCATCTCTGCTCGTAGGAAAAGACCCTGGGCTGGAATAGCAGATCCACGGTTTTGCCAATGGCCCACATGTTGGTCTTCGAGGGGTCATAAGTGAGGATTCCCAAGTTTGCTCCAGGGGTCGTCCAGTTCAGGTTTCCGGAATGAAAGGAGTAGTGCAAGGATGCGTTGAAGGGGTAGCTTCCGTTGGATAACAGATTGCTTGAATTGGCGACGAAAGGGTTGAGCGTGAATGATCCATTAGATATCAAGGAGCCGTTAGGCATCTTGACTACTACAGCGTCGTCTCTGTGCCGGATATAGAAGGTTGACGAATTTCGTCTTCCTTGCTTCCCCTTTGCTCCCCTGCGCCAGGGTAATTGTTCCTACGTCTGCGCTATTTGACCATGTCTGCATCTCAAGCCCAGAATGAGAGCAACAGCTCACGTTAGAAGCCCAGAGTCAAAGAAGATGGGACTTGAAAACCCAAATCCAGCACTCTGCGCAAGACCAAGGCTTTCTGAAGAATACGGGTTGAGGTTCGCCGCTTTCCAATTTGGCATGCGCAGAGATTGCTGACCAATTCTCTGCGCTGCATCGGCAAACGCTGCGCCTCCCCAAAACGCAACTGGGAGATGTTTTTGCCCGAAGCTCGTTGCTTTGGGAATCGCGTAACTAAATGGGTTATCAAGGAGAATAGGATAATCGTCGTCGGGAAGAAAAGTGCAAAGGAGAGTTGATGGAGGTATGATGGGCTGCAGCAGTCATCTTATACAATCATTTCGGCGCCGAGCTGATTACATCGACAGCTGGAAGGATGAAGGCTGAGCCCAGCGGCAAAGCCTGGCATGGGGGGCCTGATGAACAGCGGCGTGTTTTTCTCTCATCTTGACACGAACGAATCATCCTTTCCACGTCGTGGTCATACTCTAGTCATCCGGAAAGCGGTTTGAAAGACACGCCTCACACAGAGCTTGTATCTCTCTCATACGCGTTGACGGAGTGGACGGGTTTGTGAGATGAATGTTGAAGTTGAGCAAGTTCAGGATGGTGGGGGCTGAAATATGAGGCCCCCGGGAAATGAGAGGAGCCCCGCGTTAGCGCCATCACAAAACATGAAACATCCAATCGTCGCCTCGATGCTGCATGTGAGGATCTGGCCTGGTATAAACAACAACGTAATGCATGCGGCGACGCCTTTGAGCCTGCTCGAGATGAAAGTCAATAGCGCAACGTAGAGTTCATCAAAATCGAGTGATCATTGAGACAGACACTTGTTTTCGCACACTTGCATTGTTGATTATCTATGTAAGGCTACTTTCATCCGAGAGTCGCGATATCACAGTCTTCTCAGGTCATCGCATGCTCGTCCACGCGCCTCTTTCCTTCATTCTCACAGCAAGACCCCTCCCTTCCTTCTTACTACATGTAACACCCCGCTCGCCATACTTCTTCGAGTCTAAAATCACTTGGCCTTACCGTTCTCAAATAATTAGCTCAGAGATTGGATATACCTGCTCCAGGGCTATCTTAAAGGAGTCGCTGGTCGACTGTTCGACCGTCAACCCCGCTGTCAGCCCTGACGTGTTTTAGCCCATATATGTGCGAGCGCCAAACATTATGAATACGGCATCGGGATTCGGGACCTATCCATATCGTTCCACGTTTCCCGCAATCCGGTGAGGAAGCGATATGGCAGGGCCAGATACTTGCCCCTCACGATCACGCCACCGTCTCGCCTGATCTGCTGAAATGTGAGAGAGCGATTGTGATCCTTCGGCACCTTTTCGAGTTCCTTTTTCCTTGGGAACTGATCTTGAAACTCAGCTTGCTTCGAAGCCCATTGCCCGACATCGTTTGAAGTCATACCAGCATTGCGTTCTGCTCGTGCTTTTTGTCTTGTCTCCAGAGGTCCCACATGCCCTCTTTCGTCCAATGCTCCTGAAAACCGCCAAAAGTACATCTCTGCATATTCTTTCCCCACTTGAGGTCCAGGTACAGGAGTCTCAAATCCTCCAATCCATTTACCAGAGCACCATGTGGATCATTTTTTGTGGCAGCAACGACTAGAGCACCTAGTACATTCTTCGAACCCCACAATCCGTGCCGCATCGCAGAGTTCGTGTGCCCGTAGTTTGACCCATGGAAGATGATGCCGCGAGGTTGGAGCCCATCAAGATGGAACGATGAGATAATAACAGTAAGCTTGATCCTCTTGAATCGTCGAAAGTCTTTACGTGAAGATTTGTCCCGATCCAGTTAGTCACCTTCTCCGTTCGGGTCACGCATTGGTTTTCTAATCCCCCGCAAAGGCCATCCAGGAAAAGGGGAAAATGGCGATGGATGGCAATGTAGATGCGAGATTGCTTGACCGTATAGAGTATCTGATGCCTCGGTATGGATCTGTTCGTTCCACAGCAAGATGTTGGGGCCGCTCCGCTGCTTCCGTGGTCCCAATTGCACGAATTGAAGGCGTGGCTTCATTTCGGCAAGGTAGTTCCATCTGTACAGTAGGTCGATGTCGCAACTGGGGCATAGGGTGAGCGAGTATATCTGCATTCGGATCTCGAGAGCCAGCGAGATGAATTAAGATGGCTCTTGAGGCTGGAGAGCTTGTGTACGGAGCTCCTCAGGTGAAGTCTTGGTATGCGAAGTAGGAAAAGAAGATCCCGACGACGAGCCTTTCGACTTCAGATACTTTTCAATCTTAGAGAATATGGTCTATGAATGGGCAGGGAGTAGATCTCTTGATGATGGTCGTCCCCAGCTATTTTGCTTCTGGCGTACTTCACTAGACCCTAAATAAGATGGAGGGTGATATTACGAAAGCTAGGAAGGTTTTCTCATCAGTCTGCCGTAGTAAACACGCCTAGTGTTATCTCGCTAAACGTCCCACGAAAACTACACGCATAAATGAGTTCTAAATAATAATTGGCTAGGTCTTAAGGTTTAGTAATATATAGATAGCGATTTACTATATAGCTTAACTCTAGAAAAACTTTTTTAATATAAAATAGAAGATCTAAAGTCTAAATATAAGAAAATACTAAAAAAATAAGGCGTAGATAAATAGAAAAAGTATAAAAACCTTTTTTTATAATAAGAGAAATAAGAAAAAAAAGAAAAAAAAAGATAAGAATATTATTTATTTAAAACTCTTTTAATATAATAATCTTAATTATTCTATTATAAATATATATTATATTTTTACTAGCCTCTAATTAAACTATAGTAATTAATATTATTCTATTAAATATTCTATAAAAACTATATATATAAATAAGTTTTAAATAATAATTAGTTAGATTTTAAGATTTAATAATATATAGATAGCGATTTACTATATAGCTTAATTTTAAAAAAACTTTTAAAATAAATAATTTATATCTAATAAGAACTTATTAGCTCTAAATTATATAAAAATATTAGAGATAATATAATATAATAAGAATATAGATTAAGTATATTACGATATATAAGTAATATAAGTTAGACTTCTAACGATTAAGTAGTTAAATCTTATTATTAATTAAATTAATATCTTTTATAAAGATAGCGATCTCTTTATAGAAAGAGTATTCTAAATAATAATTTAAATAATTAAGTATATATAGAGTATTATATAGCGTAGCGATAACGTATTATCTTATAAAGATCTTATTCGAATTAAATAAAGATAATAATCTATTAATAGAAAAGCGAGTAAATAAGTTTCGTAGTAAATAAATAAGATAGATATTATTATTTATAGCGGTAATAAATAGCGTAATTCCTCTTCTAAATAAATTTATTTTCGAGAATAATAGTAATAGCTTTATATAGTAGCTATATAGCGTAATTAAATATTTTATAATATACTATTATTTAAAATCGCTATTTTTAAATTTAGTTTAGAACTATATAAATTCGTCTATATAAAGAAATATAATAAATATAAAATAAAAGAAAGTATATAAGATAACTTTTTTAAGAGAAGTTTTATCGAATTAAGTAAGAATATAGAGTAATAAATCTTATATAATTAGACGACGTTCTTTAATATTAATCTTATTATATAATCTATAAATATTAATAATTACTTATTATAATAATAAATAATAGAAGATTTTAAGATTTTTAAATTCTATATTTATATAGACTAAATAAATATCTATAAGATAGATCTTAATAAATTTAATCTAGATATAATAGTTAATTAGATATATTATTTAATCGATAAATAATTAAATAATAGTAAGAAATATAATAATTCTCGATAGGGTATAAAACTCGATATAAAAGATCTTCGCTATTTAATAATTACTTTTTATCTTATTAATTAGACTCTATTAAAGATATCTTATAATATTATAATTTAGAGAAGTCTTCTTATATTATAATTTAAATAAATTATAGTTTAATAATTTCTATATAGATTAAGAGCGCTTAGCTATAAATATAAATTAATAATTTTATTAAATTTAAAATAAGAAAGTAAGTCGACTAAAGTATTTCACTTAATAGAAATTTAAATTATATTATAAATAATATTATATTAAGCGAATAGTATAACTATTTATCTAAGTAATATTATAATTAATCTATATATAGAATTATTATTAATATTTTTAATAACGATATTATTATTATAGTAGAGTATAAGATATAATTAATATAAGTAAGATAGTTATCTATAAATAGCTATAAAAATAATAAATATCTCTTTAAATTAGATATTCTTCTTATAATAGCGAATAGCGAAGTATATATTAAATATATTATTTAATTTAGAATAAGTAATAATATTCTCGAGAATATACTCTCTTATTCTATACTTATTAGAAATATCTATTTATATAAAATAATAACGATATATAACTATATAGCGAAGTAGTTATATCTTATTTTATTTAAATAAAAAGATATCTTATTAGTATAAATTTGCTATAATTATAATAATAATATAATAATATTTTTATTTTTTAAATAGTATAAAGTAGAGTCTTCTTAGAAAGATCTTATTAGAAATTATTATTTTAATAAAAAAGAATAATAGATCTATCGCTAACTTAAGCTCGTTATAAAAAATACTTCGTTTATTTAAAAAGGCTTTTATTAACTTTCTCGCTCTTTTTAACTTATTAAAAGAAAGTCTAATCTTTATCTTCTCGCTATCGAATTAAATTCTTAAAAATTTAATTAGAGTATCTTTTTTATTTTTAATATAATTTATCTTTAAACTATAATTATCGTAAATAATATTAAAGTTATTATTAAATTAAATAATATTATTATTAAGCGAAAAAATAATAAAAAAGTTATTTAGATAATAAAAAATAATAGTTTAGAATAAAATAATAATAAGTATCTAATAAAGAACTTTAATAAATAAATTAAAAATAAAGGATATAATGTATAAGTTGAATAATAAGAATCTATTAATATAATAGAAGCTATTTTAAAAGAAACTTAGTAGCTAAAAATTTGATTCGACTATAGAGATATATCTAAATACGTTAATAAGATCTTATTTAATTATAATTACACTCTCGCTTTAAATAAATAAAATATTAATAATATCGTTTAATATAATATACTCGAATACTTCGTAAATCTTATAAATATAATAATTAATAAATTATAATTATAGAAAAAAAAGGTTATAAATTCTTTTTTAATTATTATTATACTTCGAAATAAGATCTAATAAGAATAAAATAAAGTATTTTAAGAATTCTATATCTAATTATATTAGATAGTTATTATTCTTCTACTTTTAAAGATTTTTAAATAGTATTTTAAATATTATAATAATACTAGAGTAAGATTTATTTAATAATAACTAATTAAGATCTTAATAGTCTATTTTAACGTTGTAGGTAATAATTATAAATAAGATATTAGCGAATATCTAATCGAGGTAATTCTTAAGCTATTTCTTTTAGTCGTTTTTTTTAATAGACTATATCTTTTTAATAGAGACTTATTTAATAAGATAAATATATATAGAAATAACTTAATTATCGATTTAAGATTTTTTAATATTAATTATAATTGAGAGATAAAAGAGAATTTTATATTTAGCGAAGATTTTATTAATATAACTAGTAAAAGAATATAATTAATTATATATATTATATATATATAAATAGCGATAGCCTCGAGAATTATATAATTTATTATAATTAAATCGATTATAGTAGAATAATTAAGAGTTTTAAATATTTTAATAAAAAGATATAGAAGTAGTATTATAATATATCTAAGATAAAATTTAATTTAGATATAAATTATATAATAGATAGACTCTTAATTAAATTAATAAAAGTTATTATTTTAAAATTCAATTTTCTAAGTAATTATTAGATATTTATTATATATAAATATTATTTTAATAAAACTAAATTCTATTATAAACGAAGATCCTATAAAAATAATATATTAATTAGAAAGTATAAATAATTAATAGATTAGAAATATAGTAGCGATAATTTAATAAGACTTTTTAAAAGAATAAAATAATTATTTTATAGATAAAGAAATATATAATTTAGCTATAGACCTCGAAGTATCGAAGTAATTTCTTAAATCTCTTAATCTTCTTATTATCGCTAGCGAGATAATTAATAAAGCTATTAAATAGCTTATTAAAATATTTAATATTAAATATTTTATAATAAATTTATTTAATATATAATAAGTTTATTACTTTAAAATAAAGAAGAAGAAAGACTATTATAAGATTATTATCTTAATATAAAAAAGAGTAATATAATACTATTTTTATTTTAAATAATATTAATATTCTCTACTATAATAAGATTAAAATTAATTATAAAGTTTAAAGAGATATAGATAATAGTTAAGAAGATAAGGCGAATAGAAATAATTAATAGATTAATAATATAGAGACTTAAAATATAAACTAATATATAATAGAGATAGTCGATTAGTAATAAATATAAATTTTATAAATTTTATTCTATATATAAGCGAGCTTATTACGATTTTAAAGTATATTATTTTTATTAATCTATATCTATTTAAATTCTTAATAGACTAATTATAATTAAATAATATAGAGATTATAAATTAAATCTGACGAGATAAATAATTTTATTAAAGAATTTAATTAATAAATAGAAGATATAGCGAGAGTAGATAGAAAAAGAGATTTATTAGAGGATTCTTCTATAGACGATTTTTATAGAGATAATAATTTAATAGCGATAGTCTAATATATAGCTATAGTCTTTATAATAAACTTATAAAAACGTTTAAGGGCTATTAATAATAACTAAATAGTAATAGATAAGAATAATAGATAAGAATAATATATTTTTTAAATAAAAATTACTTTTGTCTAATATTAGGAAAGAAAAAGTGTAAAAACCTCTTCTTACGACGAGAGGAATAAGAATAAGAAGTAAAAAACAGGTGGGAACACCGCCTATTCAAGGCTCTTCCAATATGGCAATCTCGGCTATCCTGCCATAAGTATGTGCTGTGCCCTCACTAGCCCCCAGTCAAGCTGTGGCGATAAATTCGTAGCCTAGGCCCTAGAGCAGAATTAGCAAAAAGTAGCGTTGCCGCGCGCATGTCAACAACCTTAATGGTAAAGTAATTGAGAAGTCGCAAAGACATCTAAGATTCGTGAAATTTCCACCAGTTGGAGACAGACCAAACAAGCGGTTGACAGTGCAATGTCTTCGATCAAGGGATCGAGAGTGGGTCTACCATTACTTGCTGTAGTAGGCTCGGTCTGCTGGGAATGCAAGGAAGCTAAGCAAGATGGAACGAGTTTGAGCCGTTGCAAAGGTTGCAATCGGGCAGTGTAGGTCTCGACAGCTCTATTCAAGAATATCTGTTGGGTTAATTGAGGTGGAGCAGATACTGCAGCTCCAAGTGCCAAAAGCGGAACTGGGCATCAGAACATAGCACGCTCTGCAAAGCACTCAGGCGTCTAAACGCTGGGCCGAAGGCATCCGGAAAGCTTCCGTGGGATGAGTTCAAGACTCTACAGGTATGAGAGGATCTGATTACAATATAAAGCTGTCAGTCGCTGACGGGAGACTGGTCCAGATATTGCGTTATTCTATGATCGTCGAGTTGGACGAGAACGGCTGCCAAAAGCCAGAAGCCATCAATCACGCAAGAGCCGTGCAGTAAGTCTCAAATATATATAATTCAAGACTTCGAAGAAGGCACTCATGAGTTGAACTCAGTTATCAGCCCAAGTGTGAGAATTGCCTACGAACACCCTTTGACAATGTCGCTTCTGAAACTTTCCGCCTGACGCCTTGCGATGATTGCAAACTTGCGTTCTTCTGTTCGCCAAAGTGCCGCGCTGAGGGTCTTGAACAGCATCAGCAGAAGCAATGTTCCAGCTTGGAAGACGCCGGCGCATGTGAACTCATCACGATGGACCATATTAAGGAGACGGGAGAGGCCATGATTCAACTGCCAAGCGAAAACCCGCGTCACACATATCCCTTTCCTTGTGGCCGGGACGTACACACTAGTAGGGGTCAAATGTAGGGGTATGGATTGGTCAGATCGACGTTGCCGCGCTCATGAGTAAGCAAAGTCTTAAGCCGCAGTGAACCGCGATCATTGGACAAATGATAATCCCTACATTTGACCCCTGCTAGCGTGTATGTCCCGGCCACAAGGAAAGGGATAAACCTCTCCATACAGCCCAAAGCTGGAAGGACTACTTTAAAGACGTATCAAATAGCCTATTCGCGAGGTATATCACCAAAGAATTCTCTCCTGCCGATGACGACAACGCGTGCTTGCAAGCATGTCGCTTCCTCAAGGTAGCCGTGGATTCTTCGAGCCTTATACTCACCATCCTAGCGGGCCTCGAGTCGGAAATCCCCGGTCTTGCTTCCCGCACCAAGCTTACGATCCATATTATAGGCGCTGACGATCAAGAGATCCGCCGTGCAAGGATGCCGGAAGATCTGTATCACCTGCTCCCGAAACTCCAACATTTGGTAGTCGGCTATGTTGGACCAGATGTTGGCTCCGCGCATGGAAATACTACAAAGCTTTTGGAGTTCGAATGCTGTCCCAAGTGCCAGAGCATGGGTCGATCTCCCCGGCAAGCATTCCTGGCGGATGATCTCTATCATGATTTCGCCGAATCAGACCTGTTTGCCAAGTACCCTCCAGACTTAATCATCGCACCGAATTCCGGCCACGCCGAATCACAAGTCCAGAGATGGCAGCCCACCTTGCAGTGTATACTCGAGCTCGGAGTTCCAGCCGTTTTTACAACTTACAACAAAAAGGAAGCGGTGGACGAAGAGCAAAGTTTCGATAAAATGGGCGCGCATTTTTCGAGGAGACTGGCTGAGAATCCCTGGCGCGGGGTTCTCCCGAAGTTCGACATGTTCATGGAGCGGTATGATGTGTTTTACTTCAACTACTACTGGTATATCGTTAAAGGCAGGACGGATATTTAAAGTGAACCTCCAGATTGTAGCAGGTGGTGTAAACTAAATGTGAAGTATTCGAATGTTGCCGTTAGTGTTCTCATTCTCACGCATCACATATACACAGGGCACATAGGTATGAGGTATCAAGTGGTTGGGCCGTCCCCGACGCCGGGATAACAGCTGAATAGAGGCCTGAACAGACGTATTCGTACCGCAGCGCCGAGAAAACTCCCATGCCTATGGCATAGACCTGGAGTGAAATAGTAGCTAGCTATGTACAGGTGTGGGTGGGTGGGACAAAAAGTATGCAATGGCTCTGAAAGAGACGAAATCGAATGAAGAGCCATTGACAGGTGCAAAACAGGTGGATATGTAGCTCGTAATGAACAGGTGTCTCCTACCCCTGACCGGGTACCCTTACAGGGTACCTGAAACAGCGGCTATATCATGAAACCCACTAACCCCCAGTCCCACTGTGGCGATAAAAAGCACTTAGCGAGGAACGAGCAACGTGTGAGGGTTCGGATACTAGTGCAATAACATGGAATCTGATAGCAACGCAGTGGGGAAGGTGAAGCCGAGACCCTAGGACACGCGCCAGTGCGCGTGACAGACACGTCATCAACAAGGACTTTGGCACCAACAATACTTGGATACAGTCAGCGCATTCAGCGCAGCTCCGGAATGACCAGATCAAAGGCCAGCGCCGCGTCCTCTCGGGAACCGAGCGAAGCTGCAGATCTCAACTTCCCATCTTCCCAAGTCTCGGTCGAGGAAGTATCCATCGTCAGCTCTTTCGACGTGGGTTATGATAGCGATGCAAATCCTAATACTCTCAAGCGCTCACTTGAGGACTGTTTAGACAACATTCAAACTACGGGCACCTTTGCTACGTCTGGGCTGTTGCCAGATGCTACATCACCAGGCTTAAAAATTCACAATGTAGGCTCGGTTGGAGCCCCCCTTGCAGAAACCCAAGCGAAAGCCATTGAAAATGTATGCCACCAAGCACCATTTGGGCAAGGTCGGTCCGGTCTCCTTTCGAAGTGGCCTACTACTCATGCTCGGTACGTCGCTCAATATTTACCCCAAGACAGTACATGTTCTAGAGTTCGAGGAGGTCGTTACTGCTTTTTCTGTCGCGTTCGCCACCAGTATCTTGCGTGGAGACCCGGAACGGGCCCACTCAGTTGACGACGCATTTGACGTCTTTTTCGAATTTTTCATTGCTTTCTTCCGAAGTTCTCAGCTGAATGTCGGAGCGCGGCAGAACGAGGGAGGTCCGAAACTGATACGTCAGCAAGCCCTGTGCAGTGTCTCATGAACGCAGGCGACCCAACCATTTTGCTCGTCCAGCTTGACAGACGAGATCTTGATGTCGAGGTACTGAAGGTGATCCGAAAGTGGGAGGCTGAAGCTGGAACGCTTCATATTGTCGCCTTCGAAACCTTCTTCCTTCCTCATCTCGGGGCTCTGACCGCAACTGGACCGTGGACCTCAGAACGGGTGACTCGATATGGGAAGCTCTTCCGTACAGCGCTCACAATGTGCGCAATGCGCTTCGTGCAGATCGAACCACAGGCCGGTAATTGGACAAGGAGCCCTCGAGGCTGCGGTTGCTCGCTTTGTTGTCAACTTGATGACTTCTTGGTCGACGTTTCGCAGCAGTCCATGAGGTTTCCAGTCAGCCGCGGCAGAAGGCAACATCTGCATCAGAGATTAGCATGCACAGAAATCAAGCATGTGACCGATCGACGGGGCGTAGAAACTCTCGTGGTGACAAAGCCCAGCACACCTTCGCTGGCGAAAGCATGAGCAGTGGCAACAGAGGCTCTCGAAGGCCGAAGAGCAGATCAAGAAACTCGACCAGGAAATTCCAAAGCAAATTTCAGGTGATGACTCTATGTTTCCTACCGGGCTCCGGACCACGAGAAGAGGCGACCAAGGGCTGCCTTCGGCGCCCGCGGCCGTAACACGTCAGGGGCCGGAGATAATAGACTCGAACTGACAAGATGAAGACAAGCGTCAAGAACTCTTGGCACAGGTCGGCAAGGCTCTGAGATTCTCATACTTAGCATACTCCGTATCTTTGTTTCTCCATGCATTTTGAAGAGAAGGCATCCTGAGAAGGAGAGCTGTGGGGATTCCCGGGGAGATTGTTTGGGAGAAGATGAATTGCGTGTTTCGCGCTTGAGGAAGATAGGCTAAGCTTGGGTGACGAAGAGGGAGCTCATCATAGGATGGTAAATCTTCAACTTGGGCGTCGGGTCAAGAGGAGGAGCACTCGAGCCCATAGTACTCATACCGACCATACTCAAGTTCACAGGACGTGAAACCCACGCTTGTTACTAGCGACAGCGATCGTTCCAACACTCGGTGAGGCTCACGCACGTTTCGGGAAGCGGATGCTAGATTTGGTGTCAGGACGGCTTTGAGCGTGAACCATGGACCTAGAACTCCGTCTTATGTCGTCGCGATCAACGCAGGTAAAATCAAGGGAGCCTCGTGTGATCTAAGCGCAAGCAAACACTAACGCAAGAGCCCCGGTCTTTTCCTACCGATTGTACTCCTTCGTCGTGTCCAGTTGCCCTCTCGCCTGTCGCATTCATGCGAATCGGGTTTACTGCACTTGGTTCAGCATGCATCATCTCACGGGAAGCCATCGACCCTAAAAACTATACCTCCGCAGGGATCCAAGGATGAGGCATCATGTCGCCCCTCTCACCCTCATCTTCACCACCGCCCTCTTTACCACTCCCATAAACATCCCCCTCATCGCGCGGCCTGGCCCCTCGCCCTAAAAGCACGTACTGGGGGCAATCCGCCGTCAGCGGAATGTCCGTATATCTAGGCAGCCCGTGAACGCGATTCGTCAGCTCCTTAAAACGAATGTACACCTCTCTTGTGTCCTCTCTCTCGAGCTGTGCGGGAAGACCCCGCTTGCCGGGGGGGGGGAGTTCGTAGCTACACAGGTCTTCTTCTATGCTGTGCACGAATACCTGCGCCATCAGCCTTCTTGAACGCTTTTTCGTGCGGGCTCCGCGCGGCGAGGATCCGGGGATGTCGACCGCGGGGGCGATGGGGTGGTACAGCCTCGATAAGTGCGCCGTGGTGCATTTCTGGTCGAAGTACGCGAGTCGGCGGGCTTGGCTGTCGGTGGTGTCGTCGTCGTATGACATCAAGAATAGATCGAGGAAGTCACGTCGCGATGTCAGCTGCGAGCAGATGAGGCGCGCTTTTGCGAAGAAGCGGTTCTGGAAGCTCGAGCGGTCGCTGCGGTATTTGCTCATTAGGCGCTTTGAGATTGAGGAGGAGGAGGAAGAGGATGAGCGGATGAGGAGGGGCGATGTTTTGTGGTGGAGAGCGTCGCCTTTGGTGGCGTGGTCGTTGAGGAAGAGCACTTTCATCCCTTGCTGGCAGTCTGTTGCCCGCTGGTCGAAGGCTGGGCGGGGTGGAGATGAAGGGTTGGGCGCGGAAGGGCGCGTGCTGGTGATGCGTGATGTGGGGGACGCTTTGGACTGGGAACATTACTGCTGTCTGGCGGGAAAGCCTCCGGGGTCTAGCAGACGCCTTCGATTGGTGGTAAGACTTGAGGTGCGTACGGCTTTGACAGTAGAATGGCCGCGGTCATAGTTGCTCGACATAGGCTCTCGCATGCCGGAGTGTGAGTGACTCTGCAGGGTGAGCTCTTGCGTAGCGTGTAGTTGAAGGCTCGGGGATCGAGAAGACGTCTCTCGTCGAAACGAGGGCGTTTTGCGGATTCGCTAGTTTCGGTCTCAGCTTCACCTCGGTCGCGAGACCTGCTGGTGGATTGCGGTGCAGATGCGCGAATTCTGGTCTCAGCGCGGGTGGGTTCGCGTGGTTTTGAAGTGGCTTGGTGTGAGAGTTTATCGAATTCCGTCTCTTGATCGTGTGATTCTATTGTGGAATACTGCGAGAACTGGCCGGGTTCCAGATCGGCGTCAATTTGATCGTAAGATCTTTTTGAGATTTACGCCGCGCTCATAGTTGTTGTTGCCTCGGGATGCAAACTTGAGGGGACTGCGAACAGCATGAGTAAATTGTGGACGGTCATGAGATCCTGCACTAAATCGCTGTTGTTGTTGTTGTCGCGTGAAGATACATGTGATTGCCGTGGCAGGAAGGCGAAGCCTGGTGTGTGCTGGCGATGGGTGCGCATGACTTGAGAGACAACGGCGATGATTATATGCCTGGATATAATTGAAGTGGACAGAGAGGCGGTCGAGTTGATGCAGTGGAAACAGTATGCGAAGAGGAAGAGTGGTGTCTCGAGAACACTAGCTGTATGTTTGCCTGGGCAATGTCCGGGGCCCCAAGCACAGCCATTCTCACGCATTCAGGCAGCCCCTTAGTCGTTGACGCCGTGGTCGCCTGAAGAGACAGGCTTGTGATTGCTGTCTTTCGCAGTCACTAAGGTCCGCCTGGATCTCGTCATCAATCCTGCTCGACAATAGCAGTGGCTTGTATTCCTACTGGATGTTCATGCGAGAAGGTGGCTAGCAAATGCCCACAATCCAAGGAGAACCCGTTTGAACATTAGCGTTTTCGACATGACAGGCTAAAGCCCCGAGATAATTGGGTACTAGTGGCTTCGATCTTCGTGGACGTGCTGGCGAGCAGCCTATAGAGTTCTTTCAAGGTCGAGGTTGAGGACTTCTTCTTCTGACTGAAGCCGCCGTTCAAACTCGGGAGGGACATATCTGGCGCGAAAGTGAAAATGATCGTTCTTACGGATCTTCTATCCACCATAACAAAATTTCCGGTAGTAGCCTAATAGCTAATTCTGAGCATAGTGTAATTAAAGATTATCTAGCCCAAGTAAAGACCTTGGTACTAGCGGGATAGTTAGTAATATGATCAATGGACATCTTCCAAAGCATGCCCGGGTCAGCCATCACATAGTCTAGGACTGCCAGCTTCTTCCGCGATATAGGTAGGCTAGATGCACGAGGACCAGAGAAGGCATCATGATGTAGACAAACGATATGAGATTCTGCTCCGCTTCAAAAAAGAGGACCCAAACAGCCGCCAGGGCGACCCAGGAAGCCTGCAGATCCCAGTTCGACGAGATCTCGAAGCGCGAGAGTACAACCATTATTGCCATCTTGAATCCGGGTTATAAAGGTAAAGAGAGTTTAAGATCTCTGTTCATCTGGTTTACGAGCAACAGAATGTACTCCGCTCTATGTTCGGCTTTAAAGGCCCGATATTCCATTGTGAAACTAGACCGATGGGCCGACAAAGCGTTCATCTCGGAAGTAGACATACATGGACATCATTTAGAAGCAATCCAAAACTCATACTGTTGCGATGGCAGCTTTTAGCCTAATAATACGAAGCAGAGCATCGCAGGACGAGGAGACTATGAGCGGCCCCGAACACTTAGTGGGGAAAGGACAAATCAAGTCAAGTCAAGTCATCCAGGCTTGCGACTCCTCAATGGTCAATCATTCCAACAAGCGGGTGAAAGGACCAACTACGCAAAGCTTCTGGGCAAGCGCATTTTATCGATCAAACAGCAACGACAAAGCGACCGCTATGGACGGGTTCCCAGCGGATGTATTACCATTTTTCGATGAGTTAACATGCTTGATGTACAACAAAAGCAGGTAACAGGTACGCGATTCTAGTTGCACAAGAAAGAATACTAGACCTCGCCCTTGTCATGGTCATCAGGAACAAATGTCGTGGTTCCCTTCTCTGCTCGCCATAGATGATGCTGTTTGATGCTTCGTTAAGGGGGAAGTGAGGGGGAGGAGGGGAGGGGAAAGAGGTGGCGAGCAACTTTACGCGGCCGTACGCGTATCAGCCGAGCGCACGTGACTCGGCATCTCCAAAGTCTAAATTGCCGTTGCTTTTAACCGAAGTGTGGAGAAGTTCATCCAACACTTCAAGTTACTCGTACTGGTAAACGAAGCGAATCCTGGTCGCCCACATGAACAGCAAGGATCCGCCAAACTCTACGCAACCTAGCCGATGATATCGATGGAGAGAAGCCAATGATCAGCACTCATACCCTGCACTTAAAGCTAGCTCACGGGAATAATAAACGGGTGGGCTTACCATGGAAGCCACGAGACTCGTCCAATTCCTACTTTCCTTTACTTTGCTTTACCATATCATACTCGGAGCGAGGGGCCGGGTAATGGGTAATAATAAGTGGTGCAAGTTCTGGTATGGCAGGCTGGCAGCAGCTGACTTTACCCATTTAACCGGAGTGGCCGACCAGCATCTTCTTCCCCAGATCAACATGGCCTAAAACCCCCTCCTCCTTTCCCCATGGGGATATCGGAACCACTCAGTAGTCAATGATGTACTTGTCTCATGCCATATATACCTCCTTCTCCGCTTCTGACCCGACTTTTCTATAATTGTATTTCTTACTCTCTGCCGCGAGTGCTTTCTTCAGCCTTTCCATTGTTCAAGAGCCCGTAGCAGCATCCGCTTCAGATACTCAAGATGGGTCCGGTCGCTGCTACCACCGGCACCTACGATGTCGCACTCAACCGCCGTAAGGCCCTCATGGGCGATTCAGGGCCCATGGCTTTGGTTCAAAATTTCAGAGTCTTCGGTATTGCCTGTTTCGCCTGTATTGGAGGCCTGCTCTACGGCTACAACCAAGGAGTTTTCTCCGGTGTCTTGACTATGAACAATTTCATGGATCGTAAGCCTCGAATCTACCCTTGGTCCACAAAAACTTCGCTTACATGTTGTAGACATGGGAGACTACGACTCCAAACTCGCAGCAGACCAAACTCGCAAAGGATGGCTCACCTCTATTTTGGAACTAGGCGCCTGGGTTGGAACACTGCTGTCCGGCTTCTTGGCTGAGCAGTACTCGAGGAAGATCAGCATCATCATCGCTACCGGCGTCTTCATCATTGGTGTTGTTGTACAAACCACCGCTGTCGCCGCTGGGCACTCGTCCATCCTTGGAGGCAGATTCATCACGTAAGTATCATATTGATATCATGATCACCGCACCATTTAACAATGCCTCTAGCGGTATGGGGGTCGGCTCTCTGTCCATGATTGTCCCAATGTACAACGCCGAGTGTGCTCCTCCTGAAGTCCGGGGTTCTCTCATCTCGCTCCAGCAATTCGCCATTGAGATCGGTATCATGGTCAGCTTCTGGATTGATTAGTACGCTTGTTTATGCCCACTTTTCTTTGTCACTTAGCTGACATTGACTTCCTAGTGGGACGAATTACATTGGCGGCACAGGGAGTACACAATCAGAAGCTTCTTGGCTGGTCCCGATCTGCCTCCAGCTGGCTCCTGCATTGGCGCTCTTTTGTGGAATGATCTTTATGCCTTACTCGCCGCGATGGCTCGTGCATCACGACAGAGAAGCAGAAGCACGCAAAGTGCTAGCGACGTTGAGAGGACTTTCACAGGATCACGAATTGGTTGAGCTCGAGTTCTTGGAGATCAAAGCTCAGTCTACATTCGAGAAGCGGACTGTCGCAGACAAATTCCCTCACCTGCAGCACCCGGGGGCGTGGAATACCTTTAAGCTGCAATTCGTTGCCATTGGAAGTCTTTTCAAGAGTATGGCTATGTTCAGGCGGGTGATCGTTGCTACTGTCACTATGTAAGATCATGACGTTTGATCTCTCAGGACGCTTGACGCTGACTACTGCAACCAGGTTCTTCCAACAGTGGACTGGTATTAACGCCATCCTCTACTATGCTCCCACCATATTCCAAAACCTCGGCCTATCCGGTAACACCATTTCTCTTCTCGCCACCGGTGTCGTCGGTATCGTCATGCTGCTCGCCACAATCCCTACGCTGTTCTACATCGACAAACTTGGTCGCAAGCCCATCTTGACCATTGGTGCAATTGGAATGGGTACCTGGTGAGCATCAGACAAATAAAATCGTCGAGCAGATTGGATGCTAACTCTGTTCCTAGTCATATAATCATCGCCGTCATTGTCGCCAAAGATCAATCCTCCTGGGCCAAACACACTGCTGCTGGCTGGGCTGCCGGTAAGTCATCACTTATCCCGCATCTTTTCCAACGAGCCAGAAACTGACATAATTCTCAGTTGCCATGGTCTGGCTCTTCGTCATCCACTTCGGCTACTCCTGGGGACCCTGCGCCTGGATCCTCGTTGCAGAAGTCTGGCCCATGTCCAACCGCCCCTACGGCATCGCCCTCGGCGCCTCCTCCAACTGGATGAACAACTTCATCGTCGGCCAAGTCACGCCGGATATGCTGAGCGGCATCACTTACGGTACTTACATCATCTTCGGTCTCTTCTGCTTCATGGGCGCCGCTTTCATCTGGTTCTATGTCCCGGAGACTAAGAGGCTTACGCTCGAGGAGATGGACATCCTCTTCGGAACGGATACGACCGCCAGGGCCGACTATGAGAGGATGGAAGCGGTCAATCGGGATATTGGTCTCAAGGGTGCGCTGGGGGGTGAGGGCGGCGGGGCGTTCAGTGAGAAGGAGAAGGTGAGCGAGGATGGCAAGTCTGACTGATGCGGTCCTGAATTCTCATTCATTTTTGGGATTTCTTGGTATGGAGTGGACTTTTATCTTGGACCTCATTTACGCAATGTAAACAGAAATGGGTGGAGATCTTTCAATAATGCAATC